GTCATAAATTTTGGATTATTCATACCATTATCTCCTTTTCTTTATTTATGTTATACAGAATTGATGGTGTTTTCTTAATAAAAAAGCAAGGTTTAAGCTAGGAATAAGCCAAGTATGGTGGCACATACCTGTAATCCCAGCAATTCGGGAGGCTGAGGCAGGAGAATGGCAAGTTTGAAGATAGCTTCAGCAACTTAGACCTTGTCTCAAAAAAGAGAAAGAGCTGGGGATGTCAGTGTTAAAGTGCCCCTGGGTTTGATCTCCAGTCCCACAAAAGAAGTAAATAAATAAATAAAAATAATAAAAATTTAGCTAGGCAGACTATCCTAATATAAGAGAATTTAAGGAAATTCCAAAGCTTGAGTAATTTATTGATTTAGAAAATGACACCCAAAGCTGCTTGTGTGCAACATGAAGTTGTTTTGTTTCAGGTATTTTAAAACAACCCAAAATTAATTTTGATGGTTCTTTATAATTTTAATTATTACCCATTGTTTTACCAAATGTTATGATTCTGCATTGTTCAGCACAATAGTCACTAGCTATGTATGGTTGTTGAGGATTTAAAATATGGCTGGTCTGAATCAAGATGTGCTATAAGTATAAAATATGCGCCAGAGTTTGAAAAATGATTACCCAAAAAAGTGGAGGGGGGACGACAACAAAAAACATTGCTTTTTAAAAAATATTTATCACATAGTAGAATGATGATATTCTGGATAAATATGGTTAAATAAAATATATTGTGAAAATTAATTTTAGTTGTTTCTTTTTTAAAATGTGGCTCTATTATAAATATAAAATTATATTGTGACTTCCATTATATTTCTTTGCACAGTGCCACTTTAATTGGCTGAGCTGGTTAGAATAAGGAATAAGTTGAGTCATGAGCTTTGCTCTCTTTGTACTGTAAATTCTAGCCTGTTACCTTGCTAATAGCGTTTGTTTGAACTTTCATGAAAACTATTATTTATTAGCATCGTGGCCTTGTCTGTGCCTTAACTTCATTTTTATAAAATGATGATGACAATAGTAGTACGTCTGTCTCACTTAGTTGTTTTAAGGATTTAATAAGATAAAAAAGCAGTATTTAACATTAAACACATAGAAATGGTTGCCAGTTTTTAACACTATTAGTATAGTGCCTGGTTCACGATAGGTGCTTGTTAAATATTTATTGATTGTGTGGTAAGTATTCAACCATGATTAATCATGGTGTATAATAAACCGTTTGATTTTGTGTGTGTGTGTGTGTGTGTGTGTGTGTGTGTCTGGTGCTGGGGATTGAACCAGGGCCTTGCATGATTACCCAAAACAGTGTGGGGGGGAAACAAAAAACATTGCTTTTTTAAAAATATTTATCACTTAGTAGAGAAGCATATAACTTGGTTTTTATGACTCTCAAAGAAAGATGATATTCCTATTTTATATATTGAGAAATTGAGATGAAGAGAAATTCAAGAACCACCATAAGCTAAAAACTTCTGCTTATGAAGTTTATTAGCTTTTGAGTTAGATGTCATATGTGGATATATGAATATGTTCTTTGGGAAGAGATCTTGTCAGGAAATTCTGAGTTTGGGATCAGCCAGTATGTGGATGGTATTATGAGCTGCTAATGGGTTGAATAAAATCTTAGTTTATAGTCAAGGAAAGGAATTTAAATTGAACCTTCCCTCCTCCCTTTTCTAATGTATTATGTAAATAGATAAAATTTGAACTATTATGTTCTTTTTTTCAGCTAACAGAAGATGAAATAGCTACAATATTACAATCAACACTTAAGGGACTGGAATACCTTCATTTTATGAGAAAAATACACCGAGACATCAAGGCAGGAAATATTTTGCTAAATACAGAAGGACATGCAAAACTTGCAGATTTTGGAGTAGCAGGTCAACTTACAGTAAGTAAAAATATTACTTGTACTGATACTTTCAGCTCTGTCCTGGGAAAGCAATTCCTTTTATTTTTTAAAAAATAATACTTGACTTTGCCAGGCACAGTGGTGCACGTCTATAATCCCAGCTATTCAGGAGGCTGAGGGAGGTTGAAGCAGGAGGATCATTAATTTTGAGGAAAATGGAAAAAGGTGGAGAGGTCCATAAAATGGGAAAACAGCAGGATCTGGAACATAGTTCAGTGGTAGAGTTCAGTGCTAAGGTTGGTCTCAAACTCGCAGTCCTTCTACCTCAGCCTCCTGGGTAGCTGGTTTACAGGTGTGTGCCACTATACCTGGCCTGGGCTTTGTTTTTTTAATATTGAAATTTTAACCTGTTTGAAGTTATTTTTGGTGAGAGTGTAAGGTAGGTGTTTATATGACAAGTCAGATTTTTTCTATTTTTTTTTGCTTAATTCTCCCTTTGATGATTTGAAATGGCATTTTAATCTCATATATATGACATACATAATAGACTGTGTTGTATATATATGTATGTGTGTGTATATGTGCCATTGTTTCTTTCTGGACTTAATATTTTCTGTTCTACCATTGTACTGCAATACATGTTTAAGTGGGTTTATTATCCACTTATTACTTATTTTCAAAACATTTCTAGCTATGCAAGTATCTGTTTCTAATTGAAATAATCTAGTGAAAACTACTTTGACTACCACTATTTGAAAACACCCCTGCAAATTTGAAGTTTTCAGAGCTAAGGAAATGACTAAGCATTTCCTTAGTTCCTGTGTTAATTTTTTATATAGGTCTGACAGAGTGAGGTCAATTCAAAAGTGTTGCCTCTATCATTTGCTCTCAATTGGCATAACTTAAGTCACAGGCAATTCAGAAGGAACCTGGGACATCCTTTTGAATCTTTAGTTTTGCTTAAAAATCTTTCTCTTTCTAAAGAGAACTGTAGGAAGGTTCTCTTTCAATAGGGACATACTATTCTGGGGAAGTGTACAAATGGTTGTTTGCTGTAATTTATACTATATTGTACTATATTCACATATTCTTTAAGCCACAAACTAAAACTTAAAAAAAATGTTTTTTTTTAGTTGTAGCTGGACACGATGCCTTTATTTTATTTATTATTATGTGGTGCTGAGGATCAAACCCCTGTGCTTGATGAGCACTCTACCACTGAGCCACAACCCCAGCCCAAACTTTTTAATTTATCATTTATGTATTTAATTTTTTTGTTGTTGTTGGTACTAGGGATTGAACCCAGGGACGCTTTACCACTGAGCCACATCCCCAGCCCATTTTTATGTTTTATTAAAGACAGGGTCTCCATTGTTGTTTAGGGCCTTGCTGAGTTGCCAAGGCTGGCTTTGAATTTGTGATCCCCCTGCCTCAGCCTCCTGAGCTGCTAGGATTATAGGCATGCACCACTGTGCCCAGCTACTTTAATAACTGAGAATACTTTTATGTCCTTTGGTCATTTAAATTTCTTTTGTAGGGCTGGGATGTGGCTCAAGTGTTAGCACGCTCGCCTGGCATGCACGGGGCACTAGGTTTGATCCTCAGCACCACATAAAATAAAAATAAAAGATATTGTGTCCACCGAAAACTAAAAAATAAATATTAAAAATCTCTCTCTCTCTCTCTCTTTAAAAAAAAATAAATTTCTTTTGTGACTTGTTTGTTCGAACTTTCAGCATGATTTTTATATATATTTGAAGTACAAGGCATTTTTTATTGTTGGAAAATAAACTCTTTTCCTCGGTTTTATGCTTGGTGTTGGTTTCTCTGCTTTCTGTTTTAGGATACCATGGCTAAACGGAATACAGTGATAGGAACACCATTTTGGATGGCTCCAGAAGTTATTCAGGAAATTGGGTACAACTGTGTGGCAGACATCTGGTCTCTGGGAATAACTGCCATAGAAATGGCTGAAGGAAAGCCCCCATATGCTGATATCCATCCAATGAGGGTAAGAAAAAAGAAAACCAGTGGGGTGATTAGTTACTATCTTTAGAAGGATAGTTCTATGACTTAATTGATTAGGTTCCAAACAATAAATGAATTATTTGTATATAATTAATAAATGTCAATGTAAATGATACACTTCCACTGACTCTAGTTGTAGTCACTAATTACGTGTGATCTACCCGCCTCCATTTCATAGCCCCCTGGCAGAACATAGCCTACAGAAAAAAAATTGCTTAGTTTGATTTATGTACTTATTTATGCCTTTAATAGTTTAGAAACCCATATTTTAATATCATAACACCAGCTGGAGTTGAGTAGTGGTGGTTTTATTTTTTATTTATTTATTTATTTATTTTTTTTAAGAGAGAGAGAGAGAATTTTAATATTTATTTTTTAGTTTTCAGCGGGCACAACATCTTTGTTTGTATGTGGTGCTGAGGATTGAACCCGGGCCGCACGCATGCCAGGCGAGCGCGCTACCACTTGAGCCATATCCCCAGCCCCATGGTAGTTTTATTTTTACATATGAGCTTTCCATTCAGCTAGTCCGCATGATTCCTGTTGTCACCAATTATCAAATACCAGTTATTACAGCATTTTCTCTAATGGCTTTTTTTGAACTCCTGTCACTAACACTCAACCTGTTCTTTTGTTATCTTTTTTTTTTTTTGCCTGGCCCCTATAGGTGTTGACTCTTTTTTCCCTATAGTTATTTGAATTTCTACGTTCTGGTTTGTTAATCCCCAGAGTCTTCATCTGGGGCTCTACTCTCTTCAGTTTCCATCTTATTTGGAAGTGTCAAGGGCCTGCAGGGCTGCATCTCCATTGAAACTCCTCAGTATCAACACTTTCAGGGGTTCTCTGGCTTTACCACCCCAGAACCCCTCATCACAGCACTGTTATAAACCCCAGACTTGCCTTCTTTGGGGCTCCACAGCTCTCTTTGCACTCCCCAAGTCAGTTCTTCCTATTCTTTCATTATTAAGTTCTCTCATTAAAAGACTTAAGATTTTTAAAAGCATTCATGTGCCCAAAAATAAACTTCTTTCTCTGGGGCACAGAAAAGAGAAAAAGTAGACAATTTACTGGTCATATTTTTAGATTTAAAGAATTTAAGCTGCAGATGTGGGGTGGGAGGGCCCAGGTGTTGTTTCGGCTATGGGGGTTGCAGCCCGCAGGGGTCCCCAGAAGGAGAGTGTTAAGCTGCCATGTTGCATCGGAAGAGGGAAGCGGTTAAGCGAGGTGTTGGAACTGCTGCAGCCTCCGGCAGGAAATGCATTCTTCTGCCACCAGTGCCGAGCTCTGCAGCCACCAGACCGGACTTACTACTTCAGCCTCATGGATTGCAACTGTTCCTTCAGAGTTAACACTACAAAACTCCAGCACAGGTTTCAGCAACTACAGCATCTTGTCCACCCAGATTTCTTCAGCCAGAGATCTCAGACTGAAAAGGACTTCTCAGAGAAGCATTCAACCCTGGTGAATGATGCTTATAAGACCCTGCTGGCCCCCCTGAGCAGGGGACTATACCTTGTAAGCTAAAGTTTCATGGGATAGAGATTCCTAAAGGGACAGATTATGAAATGGATAGTCAATTCCTCATGGAAATAATGGAAATCAATGAAAAACTTGCAGAAGCTCAAAGTGAAGCTGCCGTGAAAGAAATTGAATCCACTATACAAGCTAAACAGAAAGAATGTACTGACAACGTGAGCAGAGCTTTTGAACAAGATGACTTTGAAAAAGCCAAGGAAATTTTAACAAAGATGAAATACTTTTCAAATATAGAAGAAAAGATCAAGTTAAAGAAGATTCCCTCTAGTTAATTACTTATTTAAAGTTTTAAAAATAAATTTCCAGTATTCTTTTCTGGCTTCTGCTTAAAAAAAAAAAAAAGAATTTAAGCTGTTTATTGCAAAGAGTTTTATCTTTCAAAAACTGTGGCTCTTTATTTATTGGGAAATTTGGCAGCTGTTTGGGCTGAGGTTATCTTCAGGATATGGATATTCATAGGTGTTGCCTTTTCACTTTGAAAAGCAACATAATGCAGTTATCATTAAAAAAAACTTTATTGAGGCCTGGGATTGTGGCTCAGTGGTAGAGCGCTCGCCTAGCACTGGTGGGACCCAGGTTCTATCCTCAGCACCACATAAAAATAAAGGCATTGTGTTGTGTCCATCTACACCAAAAAAATGAATACTTTTTAAAAAAAAACTTTATTGATATATTGATATTGTGAGGTTTAGGGGACAAATCTGCATAAGAGAGGGAAAGGAAAGAGCAATATATCAGCTTCTCCAGTTGTCATACTTTGTACTTTGAGATGCTTAGACTTTGGTAGGGATTTAAATGGGCTTATCAGAGAAAAATAATTTTACCAAACTGCAAATGTAATTCCAGGCATATTTTTATTGGTGTATCACACTTACTTTACTAAGTTTTTCTTCTTCTCTCTCTCCTTTTTTTTTTAACTAGGCAATCTTCATGATTCCTACAAACCCTCCTCCCACGTTCCGAAAGCCAGAGTTGTGGTCAGATAACTTCACAGATTTTGTGAAGCAGTGTCTTGTAAAGAGCCCTGAGCAGAGAGCCACAGCCACTCAGCTTCTCCAGGTATGAGTCACCTGTCAGGCTGCCTCTCCATTTCATCTACATGCAGACCAGAAAATACTGTTAATCTACCTGCATGGAGATAGAACAGAAGTATAAGATATTCCCTGCCTTTAGGGAGGTTTGAATCTATTTGAGTTGGAAGGACAGAAAATAATCTTAACTCATTGAACAAAACCAATACAAGAAAATATAGGGCTATGTAGGATTAGAGAAAGCACTTTGACATTGAGTGAGCATTGCTGTGTGCCAACTTTGCATACGTTATGCCATTTAATTATCACGTAGGCCCTATGAAGAGTAGGTGTTATTTCTGTTTTATAGGTGAGAAAATGGAAGCTTAGAGAGGTTAACTCAGAGTTTCTTAGCTGGTGTAAACAGCAGGGCCAATGGTAGGGCCTGATTCTCAGTCTAAAAGTAGGAGTGCCATTAAGTCTGCCTTTCTGAATCAGTGGTGGGTGCTGATATATCTCAGGATAAGAGGAAGTTACTTTGAATTGGAGACACTGGGAGTGCTTCCTTGAAGAGAGAGCTTACATGTTGGGCCTTGAGGAATGGATGGGATTGGCAGGCTGTAAGTATGCCTCATGGTTAGGAGCTTGGATTCAGAACTCTGACTTCCTGAGTTTGAATTGTGGCTGCTTAATACTTTGTGACTTTGGAAAAATAACTTATTCTCTGTATCTCCTTAGTTTTCTTATCTATAGAATGGGAATTAAATAATTTTCTCAGATGTTGTGAAGATAAAGTGATACAATGTGTATAATTTTGAGCAGTGTTTTACAAATGTTGAAGTTAGTATGGCATGAACTTGATAAATATTATTATTGTTGAGTTAAGTCAGTGATTTTTCAACTATTTTCAGACCCAATGCCCCCTCTTTATAACATCTTCATTACTTTTCTGGAATTAAATTTATAGATAATCTTGATTCTTAAATAGATTTTATTATCTGTAATCTAAAGGTAATAATTTACAGTAAATGTTATCTATGACAATGTAGAAATACTCCAGCTTGATCCAACTTATATATATATAATGGAACATATACTTGTATCTATCAGCACGAATGAGTTTAGATTTAAGAGTAATAAGAAGGGGCTGGGGCTGTAGCTCAGTGGTAGAGCACCCACCTCGCACGTGTGAGGCACTGGGTTTGATCCTCAGCACCACATAAAAAATAAATAAAGATATTGTGTCCAACTACAACTAAAAAAAAATATTAAAAAAGAGTAATAAGAAGGTCAGAAGCCCATTCCATTCAAGAAGCACAGGAAAATTAGCCAAGTGCGGTGGTGCACGTCTGTAATCCTAGCGGCTGTGGAGGCTGAGGAGGCTGAGGCAGGAGGATCATGAGATCAAAGCCAGCCTCAGCAACAGCAGGGTACTAATCACTCAGTAAGACCCTGTCTTTAAATAAAATACAAAAAAGGGCTGGGTATGTGGCTCCATGGTACAAAAAAAAGCACAAGAAAATGAATGAGAGGGACATTAGTATTAAACTGATGGTAAGTAATCACAGGCTAGACTTGTATCCAATAAGAGGAAGGAAATGATTTTACAAAATTTCCAAGTAGAAAGCACAAGACAATATGGTATCCTTGCTAATGACCAAGGTCTTATTTCTAAGTATTTTATTAAATTGTTTTCCTGCTTGCATGGAGTACTATAGAGTTTTTTAGGAAAATATCTTCTGTATTGTAGTCCTACCATATGTTAAGGCATCCTTTCAATCTCTGGTGTACTTACAAAGAGAGACCTTACATCCTCATGGATGAAGGGGAACATAGAGTAGATTGTAAAGAGAAAACAGGAGACAATATCCGAGTAGTTTGCAAAACACCAGGCAGTCCCCAGAAAAATTTCCATATGTGTCTTTAATAACATAGACAACTTCTTATTGTGCTGTAAACCCAAACAACAAAAACATAACATGGTGTTAATATTAAAACTTTAGCTGGGCATAGTAGTGCATCCCTGTAATTCCATCAACTCAGGAGTGAGACATGAGGACTGCAAGATCAGCAACTTAGTGAGACCGTATCTCAAAATAAGGAAGGAAAGAAAGAAAGAGTTGATGATGTAGCTCAGTGATAAAGTGTCCCTGGATTCAACTCCTAGTACCAAAACAAACAAACAAAAACCCAAAAAAAACCTTTAGCAGTGTCTCTGTGTTTCAATATTGTTTTTGCTAATTGAATAATATTTGGGTCTACTCTATTATACATTATACAAAATACATATGTGTTTTGCAGTAACTGCACTTTTGCACAAACATCCTTTTTACCTAAATATGTAGTTGGGAATGCTCTAGTACATTGAATATAAAGAACAAATGGGATGAGTAAATTATGTAGTGATTTCTAAACAGTGTCTTTATTTCATTTTAAGCTCCCATCTCCAAAATTGCCTTTCAAATCAGTGGACATTTTGCATATCTCTAGAAAAACATTTTCAATATTATTAGAGTATAATGTATATACTTTGAGACATTTGAAAGATGTGCACAATTTGCCACAATTTTGTACCTCACAGGATTGCTAGCATTCCTGCCTCTCCATCCTGTGTCAGGTGTGCCCTTCAAACTTTGTGATGACATCAGGCTCTTAACACATTTATAGAACTTCCTCTAGAGGGTAATACCACCCCATTGAGAATTTCTAGATTTGACAGAGAGAAATGTTGTAGTCATTCTATCCAGGCTGAAAAAGATGGGCAAAGGTTGCTGCTGAGTTATAAACCAAGTGTGGTTTAGCTGTTGTCCAGGGCATAAAGAAAAAGATTAGATTCACTGATTGATTCAGTAAGTATTGTCAAGTACCTACTGTGTGCTAGACAGTAGGTGTTTTAGCTCTATTGCTACATAAACTGGCTCCAATGATTTCTATTTCTTTGTTTAAGCACCCATTTGTGAAGAGTGCCAAAGGAGTGTCAATACTGCGGGACTTAATTAATGAAGCCATGGATGTGAAACTGAAACGCCAAGAAGCTCAGCAGCGGGAAGTGGACCAAGATGACGACGAAAACTCAGTGAGTGGCAGGCATTGCTGTGGGCCTCAGGCCTCAATGCTTGTTAGTTCATTTTGGTCAAGTGTAAGTAAGACAGTAGAAAATACTGGATCAGCTTGGAACTGGAGACTCTTGTAGTATATGTCCTTAACTGGACCAAGGCTTGTTGGAGGCTCACTGAATCTGTGCTTGTTGTTCTTCTGGTGTTTTTTAAAACATTTAAATTTTACTTTTTGTCCTTGTATCTTTTATTCAATGTAACTTTTTACTTGAGAAAATGCTCAAGTGTGAGACTTGGTTTATCTAAGCCATTTTGAGGAATCTAAGATCCATACTTAATATACTTGAAGACTCCCTCACTACCCTGAGATTCCAGGGGTATTCATGTCAGCTCTTAGATCTGTATTGTAGACTCTAATAAAGATGAGTGGGGAGGAGTATCCTGTAGAATTAGATCCACTCATATGGATAAATTTTGAACTCCTTTGGTTAAATTTAGAACCTAGAAGTTAAATGAATTTAAAACCCAAAAATATTTTTACCAAGATGAGTAATAATAATTCAGAAAACCATCTTTTGATCAGATTAACTCTAACTTGAGATTTTGTTCTACAGGAGGAAGATGAGCTGGATTCTGGCACAATGGTTCGAGCGGTTGGTGACGAGATGGGTACTGTACGAGTGGCCAGCACCATGAGTGATGGAGCCAATACTATGATTGAGCATGATGACACATTGCCATCACAGCTGGGCACCATGGTGATCAATGCGGAGGATGAGGAAGAAGAAGGGACTATGAGAAGTAAGGCTCTGATGAAATATATGAACTTTTTGACCAAGCATAGGCACTTTAGGATTCCCGTGGTCCATGCAGCCTCATTCTTGGGTTCTCTCTTCTGTTACTACAACTAAAGGAGGTTTTC